TATCATATACATTAAAATTTTCAATTTAAATTTATATTTATTAAATAAATATGCATTAAAAGCATTATATATGTATATTTTATAATGATTTTAAGATCGCAACGCATCACGATATGACGATGAACATTTTATGAGTTCTCGCTTGTGTACTAACAAGCATCTTGCGAAACTTGACGAATTAGTATGGTTTCAAGAAAATGCAAAATTATATACTATATATCCTCAAGTATGTATAATATGGCAAATATATTTCTTATATTTATAAAAATGAAACTATATAAAATTGACGATTATTATTTTATCAGCAAAAAGTTGATATATCCGACTGGCTGAGTTATCCAAGTGGAAAGTCGTTTCCCCTGTATGCGAGTAACTGTTGTCAGATTTCAAGCAAATCTGACCTCAAGATGCATATTCTTGTCGAAGTTGATATGGAAACTTATAGATCTCGGGCCTCAACAGTCTCTGCAAAAGTACAATGCTCAAGTCTTTAATTATATGTTATACATTCTGTGCTCTATTGTTATACATTCTGCATGTATAATTTATGTAAGCTTTGAAACTATTATTATTTTGTGACTAATTGCAAGTCAATTTATCATGTTCTACTTATATATATTATTTTACAGCTTGAGGATTATGGTCTAATCATGGCATGGACAACATCAGATACGAATATGAGCTTTATTTTAGAAACAGATATAGAACATATTACGAGCTTAATAACTGGAATCATGCAAGGACAATATTGTATTAATCATGGCTTATGTTTAACACGTGTTCAATGTATATATTATTCTTGCATCTTGAAATGTTACATATTTCAATAACTTGGTATTTATTTGCTTCATTTTACTTTATTTTTTTAGCTGTTTTAGTATCAGGAAAACCGTATATTTATAATGATACTGGACATCTTGGCCCACCACCAAATAAAAGTAAGTTATAATGATTCAACTCTTGTATTTATTGTAATATATCTTTTAACGTGTGAAATGTATACTTTTACAGATAGTTTTTATGCAAAGTGCGAAGCAGCTCGAGTATCTTCCCAGAAAAATAAGCCTAAAGGAATTATATGTGGTGTGAGTGTACGATCACAAGATAAAAATGTGAATGCTGAAGCATTTACGGAAGACTTCTATGTAACAAGTAAGAAAGATATACCAGCATTATGCATAATTGTCTCTAAAAATTTTTGTAAGTATATACTTTTAATTTTATATCTTTTAGATGTTAAATCATCTAATTCGGCACCAGCAACATGTAATTCGTCACCAACTGATGAACGTATAGGAGGATTAGTAAAAAATCCATATAATAGAGCATTACCAAGCGACGTGCTTCTTGCCGCTACTGGAGGATACAAACCTGATTTAACTAAAATTTATTTACCTGAAAACATGGAGAAAAAAGACAATACTAATGAAGAAGTTGAAAATATTGATCAAAGCAAGTCTACTAAAGAAGCAACTTGCAAGTGAGTATAATCTATCTAAAAATAATAAAAAGGGTATATAATATTTAATGATTACTGTATTTATATTTATGTAATGAACAATAAAAGAATAAAATTGTTTGTATTATATTAATTTACAGAAATTCTGAATTGGAAGTAGGGGAAATTCTCAGTAAGGTGATTAAACCACCAAATGTTCTCGTCTGTGCAGATACTCTAGGTGCGACCGACAATTTAGAAAATTTATTATCAAAAGTGCTAGAGCGAGATAGGTATATTATGTTAAGTTTTATATTATATTAGGATCTATAAGTTTGTCAGTAAGTTGTGTCAAAACATAATAAATTTTAACAATTTGCTTCTGCAGATAATTAAGTTATTTATTTCATTAATTATTAGT